CAAAATCGTCCCAGTACTTTAGTACTGTACATTTAGTTCTGGAACTAAAGCGGTGCGAAAGGCCCTATTGTCACTGTATGAGTGATTTTTATATCACGGTACCTGTATGCACAAACGATAGACCACTATTCATGTCAATAAATCAGCTATTATTTGGTATCAGTCTCAACCAGTAACGATTCATCCTCAGTGTTGGGGGTAACGCATTACAAGTACAGACGTGGATTTACATTTCCTTCAGCCTGAGGCGTATTCATTCCACTTTTTTTGTGAAAGGGCTTTTACATTAGTAAAAGAAGGACTTTTTTATATTAAAAACAAACAGGCAAGCCCTGCCCAGATTTAAAAAAATAACTCAAACGTAACGTAATGCATTACTTTCCATAAAAATTTACTAAGTAACGTAATTAGTTACTTTTTTAGGGAGTAACGCAATATTGTAATGCATTGCTTTTAAAAGTAACTTTCCCCAACACTGTTCATCCTGGGCCAATTAAGAGATTAGTTTGACAGCTTAGTGAGTGGATAATATACAATTTCTGTATTGAAAAAAAAAAGTTTTAATGAGTTAAGTCACTATTGTGTAAAAATTATTTACATTTTTGAATTTCAGTGTCATTAAATTATTAAATTTTAACTTGACAGGCGTAAAACAAAGCATAAGTGAGTTCTATATAATAAGTGAGAATGAGTTTTCTCATTTTGATTTGTTGAAACGTTCCAATATGTATTTAAATTACTGTATTTAAATGTTTTTGTAATTAACTATTCAAACTGAGCTACATCAAATTTCTATAACTACATTGTATATTTTTGTATATTAAATAATATTGTGGTAATGCCTACATTTTGAATAATCCAGAGAATTAAATGCATTATAAATGAAAAGTACTTAATTTTGTTTAATTATTTCCCCCTTTTTTTTGCACTTCGGCAGACACAAAACAAAAGAAATGAATCTTAGCAAATGAACGGTGAGCCTAACCACTTTACATTATTTAACAAATAAATTAAAAACAAAAGACTCAAAATATTACAAATTACAAATGATTAAAACTGTATAGCAATTACATAGGCAAAGCTTTTAAAATGCATTTAAAGTCATTGTAAATACTCAACATATGCTTAACTGTGACCGCACATTTGCAACCAAAAACAGCTAAAGTCTTCTTCGCATTGTGAAAACAAGTTCTTCCTCGTCAACAGTGTTAAAACATGTTCACAACCATATTTTAATATACTCTCTTTGTGCCACATTATTCTAGTGTGACATCCATTTAATCTCCATTCATCTGGCTTTTCATAATTCAAGCGTGACACATTCCTCTCATATCAGCCAATCGTTGTTCAGCATTCTTTAGTTGATTCTATCAGTCATGATCCTGACTGACCACATGAACCAATCAATGGTCATGAAAATCAAGAAATCACTCTGCATTTTAAATGATCTTATTCTCAATAAGAGCCAATAATGACAACTTATCTTTATTCAAAAACACATTCGCTTTAGGTACACACAGATTCCTTCTAAAGCGTTAAAGCAGTAGTTCATACAAAAATGAAAATTCACTCACCCTCAGGCCATCCAAGATGTAGATGAGTTTGCTTCTTTATTGGAATGGATTCAGAGGAATGTAGCATTACATCACTTGCATCTCTGCAGTAAATGGGTGCAAACTCATCTACATCTTGGATGGCCTGAATGTAAGTGCATTTTCAGCAAATTTTCATTTTGAGGTGAACTATTCCTTCAACAGTCTTCAGAAATTCACCACAACGTTGCAAAAACACTTATACTTACCAATGAGAAATACAAATGCAAATCAACTTTTAAAGCTCTACAAGTTGAATCACTTCTGTAGGATTTTCCATATGCGTTCTTCCATGTAAAATTACAATAATATTTTGTAATCACCAAAGCACTATAAGACTGAACCTACAAATCCTGTATTAAAAATGGGAAGGTTGTCGAGGAATGAAATTACATGGTTAAAGGTGATGTGTGTTACATCTTTGATTTTTCAAGATCACAACTACTCAGATGGACATTTATGTTGAATAAATCATTATTTAGCAATTGCATTTCTTGCTGCTAATGGCACAGAAATTCTACACTCCACTTGAAAGGTAATTGAGGATTAATTTATTGCAATGCTTTTCTTAGGCGTCCCTGGGTGTGTGGCATCTCCTCTTTGGGGATAGATCACACCAGCATACTGGGAGACACCATTGAGAAAATTGCTTGGCAGAAAGGAGGGATTTTCAAGGTGAATATTTGTGGCTCTTGTGTGAAAAAGAATTCGAAACTTTGCATGTTGGAAGTTTTTCAGTGAATGTGTTTATTGCAGCTAGGAGTTCCTGCATTCACAGTCAAACAACCTGATGGGCCGATGAAGGTGCTTCAAGAGAGGGCAGAAGAAACTGGGGTGAGAAATATGAATATACTACAGATACACAATTCAGAATGCAGTTAATTTGCTCACATAGTTCTGTGTTTCTCTCTCAGTGTTCGTTATCAGTGTGTCCTGATCTGGAGGAGTATGAGAGCGAGGGTTCGCTCAGCTTGGGTCTAGCTGGTCACCATCAGTGCAGTAACGCTTCTCTGGCTCTACAGCTCTCACACACCTGGCTGCAGAGACACTTCCTCACAGGTGCGTGTTTCTGACTGTTTGTGGGTTAGTTCCCATATCTCTGTTTGTGTTTTTAATCAGCTGTTTGTTCCTCAGATCCTGCGTCATCATCTCCAGTGGAGTTCAGCGGTGTGAGTTCAGCTCCAGTGATCCAGCCTAGTCCTGCAATGATCAAAGGTCTGGAAAAACACTATACAGCCCAATTAAAAGCTCTGTTCTGAAACCTAGTGAACCTCCTTGATGTCTGCTGACTACATAGGTTCTAAAATGGCATTTTAACCCTTATGGCACTTCTTTATCGATTGATTTAGTACAGCCTACATAGGCAGCAAAAAGCAAGAAACAGGGATATGATTTTTCTGTATTTATGTGGTTATATAAGCCTATATACAAAGGGCTTTAAGGGCTCCCAATGGATTTCCACCAGTCTTTGGTTAATTATTCTCTATATTCTCAATGCAAGGCATTCTGGTATTGCCGTTTTCTATGAAGGATACATTTGATGTTGCCTTAAAATTAGACTTAAATGAGGTGTTTTAGAAGACAGCATAGTTATTCCGGTTACTTTTAACCAAAGTGACTTTCAGTAAACTTATTTTGAGGTTATTACCCATGAAGAAATCTGGGGTTCAGTGTCTTATGAGAGTTCACATATTAAGAGATTTGAACCTGCAGCCTTTCGGTTACTTGTCCTGATATTTGATCAGTATTGTTACAAAATTACTAAATGCTAAAGCCTTGGAAAGGTCATAGTGCATTTAGCAATTGTACTTTTTGTGTGAATATATTTGTGTGTGTATATATA